TACCCCCCAGCCAGGCTTCCGGAAAAAAACAACAACATCCCCTTGGAATGGTTGCAAAATTTCACGGCGTGTTTTGCAATCTCCTACAGTACGAAAAATCAACAGAACCAAAAAAGCAAACAACTGCAAAGAATGGTGAGGTTTCCTTATGGGAAATGCATGGTGCACTGATTCGGTGTACTGATTCTGGTTGCCATTCAGCACCCCCGACCGGCTTGAGATCGAAATCCAAGCCCTGCGCGTGAGGTTATCGCCTCGCGGGCAAAACTCCGAGCATTCTGTCCCCGGTAAATTCATGGAAAATCAACATCGGTCTAAAGGTCTAGCAAAAAATGGGACACAACACATTATTTGTTTAGGGTCCTTTTGTGTCTGGTCAAAATAATGGCAAATAAAAGAAACAAGAGCAACACATGTTGTGTGGGTCTCCCCTTTCAAGCAGTCTTCCCCTCCAAACGGTGCTGTAGTTTGGATGTCACAGGGTATGTCATTCGGCTGTTTAGCATATGTTTGGGTAAGAGGAGGTCGTGCATAGACGGATTGGGCGGTCATTAAATAGGACTGTTACCCTCAAACATGGTTCTGGCAAAATACATCACCTGGTGGGATCTCTGCAACCCCTTTCCCCTTAGACTCTTATGAAGCCTGTTCCCGAGCCAATTGCAACCGCGGACGAAATCAGTCATATTGTCAGCTTGGTCCGGGTTGGACATTTGGCCACCGCAAGTATCTTGGGAGGTGGACACGGACATCGCAAAGAACTAAGTTCTGATTACAAACGTTCGTCCTGGAGCGTGAAATAAGCTCAGGTGATATCCCCAACATCATTGAGTGCTCTTTTTAGTGCTCGCACCACCCCGCAGCCCTCGCAGAACCTCGTGGAACCCTGGTGGAACCCTGGTGGAACCCTGGTGGAACCTTACCTCAGGGCCGCCCCGGACCACCCCAGAGCCTATCTGGGCTGAGACCCCAAAGCTTTCAGCTGTTGGGGAATAAGCGAAACCGTCCGAAAGAAATGGTATCATGGGTCATCTTGTCGCAAAACAAAGTGGTAGGTGAGGGTGAATCTTCCTGGTGAGCTGTAAAGCATAAATGGGTTTGTCGGTGCCCTCTGTTGGTCTGATTCAAAGGGAAACCCAGGAACAAACACCATTATCAAGCTTGCCCCAGGCTCCGTTAGACCTGCCAGCATGACACCAGGAATGAATTTCTGGACCCTCTTCATCAATGCGTGCTGTAAAAACGAGATTCAGTCACAGACTTACCAGGGAAGATAGATCAACAAACACCTGGGATGGGAGCCTCCCTAAATGATGGTTGGCCTTGTGGCTTCTCCTTAAAACGAATCTCTAAGGATTAATTCGGACAGCACTAATCAGGGCCGGTTCCCTTTTTGTCTTGATTATCTTTCATTTGTGGGTTCTCTGAGTAGTAGGGTCCTGGCCTCTGGATGAAAACTCCACTCCGCAGTCAACATTATAGGGGAAGCAGGACACTAAAACCGTTTTCAATCGAACAGTTGGACGGTCTATCTGGTTAGCCACTAGATGGCAGAGGCTAATGACCGCATGAAGCCAGCGCCATTCAAGCATGGCCCGAAAGCAACACCTATACTGCCTACGGTTCCAGTGGCCAGGGAGAACGTAAAGGCCACTTGTGTCTTGGTTTTGTTGGCTCCAAGGGAAACCCATTCCAAACCAATTCTGGGCGACCTCCAGTCGACAATCTTCAAGGCCGCAAACTTTTCGCTGGCAGGGTTCCCCTCAAAGCAACGCCCTCCAGCCACTTCGTTGCAGGGACCCCTCCAAAAACGAAAAGCAACTAGGCGCTCCAGTGACAGGTGTCAGCTCCGGCCTCTGGACGCTCCGCCCTGCCGAGCTGAAAATGTCGGAGTTGTCTGTTTGGTGCTCCGAAAGTTGGCCCTAGGCTTCAACCCCCATGAAAAAAATGGTTGACCCAAATTAGAGTCATAAATGGTGGTTGTATTAACCCCCATCTTAATGCTATGAACCGCAGGGTTGGGCTTACCAATTCATTTTGCTCTCGGGGCGACTCAGCTTGTTGGCTGTATGATTGAAACAACGGGGCTCTCAGAAACTCTCAGAAACTCCTCCTCTCTTACCAGGGCCTGCAAGGGAACCTAACCTTGATGCTATATGCCCGCTTGCAAGCCTGGTTTCTCAAGGATCTTCATGTTGCTGGTTTCTCACCAGAGATAGAAGAGCTAGCGGCAACCACACCCTGACAGCTAAGAAGACGAAATCCAAGTGGTCAATCCCGAGTTGCAAGCAGGAAACGGGCCACTATATCTTCCCCCTAGACATCACCCCAGGAAGCTTAGCACACACGGGGGTTTTGTTAGGCGTGAAAGAACAGGGAAGGGCCAACTGTTCCAACCTTGTTGAGACAGCACTGGCCTCATTATTTGACCATGATCAAAGTCATCCCCTAAGTGGTGGGTTGAGGGAAACAACCCCATTTTCTGACTTTGATAACCCCCAGAACCCGTCAAAGCAATGACCCCAGCAGCAATGGTCCGGGGTGCTGCCTGGGCAGCTGTACCTCGGACCTCGTCGAGAAAAAAAAAAAAACAGGTTCTGGGAGGGCTCCGCAAGAGTCTGCGAAGTGGCGCAAACCAAACAAGCAGGAAACTAGGCTGGAATTAGGACCCCAGCAAACAAATATACATCATTTTTGCCTGGTTAGTGGAAAACAAAGGGACCCCAAAAAAAGCCCCCCCAACAAAAAAGGGGAGCTAATTCTGGAAGGAGAAAGGTTCCGCAGAACCATCAGTCAAATTCCAAAGTCAATATCTGGCATCATGCCCAATGGTTGCCTAACTCGCAAGGCAAAAACACTTTGTGGAAGTTCCGTGGTACCGCGGCTATCCAGCGCCGCTCCGCTTCCCAAATTTGTGTGACTTGTCAGCAATGTAAAGGAGTTTTGAGGGGGCTCAGGGGCTGGTTAGCCTAACCAAGAGGATTATCAATGAGGTTCTGCAACATTTCATTTCGTGTCCAAGCCCCTCGCTTGTGGTTTCCTGTGGAAACAATGAAACATTATAGGCTGATTAGCACCCAGCCCACCCGTTCAATCAACACAGGCTCGTGCCCGGTGATTTTTCAATACCGCCTTTTGGGCGGCACGAGCAAAAGGAAACCACGTGATGTGTTTGAACGGAGATCATGTCTCGTTTCGGAGCTGGTACCCTATCGAAAAAGAGTGTACTACGGGAAGTCTAAAGGGAAACCACCTACTTCGGGGTTGAACACGAAATGGCGAGGGGAAAGCCAATCCATCCTGAAAGAACTTTCATCTACTTGTGCGGCAAACAGCACAAATAGGGAAGCCGCCTGTTTTGTTGTTTCTTTCTGGAGAAACACCCTCGACCCATCAGGACTTCAGGTAGACCGAAAAACACATACCACACCAATCGACAGGGAACCCGCCTATAAGTTGTTGGGTCTTCAAAGGGAAACCAGGGTGTCTGTCATGAGGGATCCCCTGGAAATAGGTGGTTTCCTTTATCACATAATCCCTTTTGGGGGGTTCCCGCAAAAAAAGAATAAGCTCAGGTGATATCCCCAACAGCATTCAGTGCTCTTTTTAGTGCTCGCACTACCCCGCAGCCCTCGCAGAACCTCGTGGAACCCTCGTGGAACCCTCGTCAGCTGTTGGGGAAAAAGAAAAAGCCAACCCATCGTTGGAGCCGAAGCTTGGCTCCGAGTCTTGCCTCTGGACCTCCTCGAGCTCAGGAGGTGCCTCTTCGCGTCGCTGTGGGCTTCAGAAGTCGGGTGACCAATTCGTAGGGGCGCAACCGCAAATGGGCGTGTCGTTTTTTAGGGGTTCCCCCTCCAAATTGTGGTTGTCCCCTTTAAAACGTCTGAAAGAGAGGTCCTACATATTTGAAAGACACAAACAAAAACACTGATCCAAATAGGGTCCGACAGGTCGGCTGTGGGAAAAGGACAACATGATCGCCCAGACCTCCGGAGTTGCATGGGAAGGGCACTCTGCCCAAGGCTCCTTTCTTTGTTTTTGGGGGGAATGACAATGTGTTGTTTTCAAGGGCCCTGACAGGTCGGAGTTCTTAGCAGGCCCAAAGGTCTGCGTACAGAAGAGCCGGGTTCAAAAGGGACCCCATGTTGCTCGCCTCCTGGAAATGAACATGAAACCCAAGGGCCGTGTATGGTTCCTGGCCCGTTTGTTTTCCAATGGATTTGTTCTTTGGGACATTCAGCTTCGCCTTACCTGCAGGTTGATGGGCCCAAAACAAATGTTGGCAGTAGACCCCAAAAAAAGGATTCCTGCTCCATTGTTGCCAAAATGTGACAACTGAAACGGCAGATCCAGTCGATTCATTTTCGTACTTGTGTAGGGCATGGGTCCGTGGGTCCGTGTCCGTTTTCATCCATAGCTCCTTTCAACTGGCCGCTTCCCCCTGGTTGTTGGGTCTTCTGAGAGATTCGGACGCCTTGGAAACGGGGGTCCTTGGCGACGGGACCCCTGCCCTTTCCTGGCCCTTCCACTTCCCAAGGGGTGAACCACCCACGCTAAGAAGGTTGACCTGGAACGGGATTCAAGGACATCCTTGACATGAACCTCGTACTGTGGATGGACAAAATCCTGCCACCACCTGAGAAACACTGGAATGATAACCTGGAAACACTGGAATCAACAATGGTTTTGCATGTTTTCAAAGTGTTGCAGGATTTTGTCCATCCACAGTATTGCAAAGGTAAACAATGTTTAAGAAACAAGAACACTTGCGCACCACTGGCCATCCAAACAAACGTGGGAATATGTTCACGCAATTTGGGCGAGGTGCAAGGAATGACTCTTCGGACTGATCTGGGTCTCAAATTTGGAGACAGCCGGTTCCGGATGGTTTTCGAGGGAAAGTCAAAGGGAACCATCCGTTTTTTCAGCTTCGGTCCCCCAATTTTGCGCCCATCAGCACACCAACCGCCAGAGCGGGCCTCAGGGCAGTCGGGATGCTCCTGGCTTTGACAAAGGGCGCGGGTTTAATCCTTGAGTGTACCCTTTTTGGGGTCGCTTTAAGGGCGCAAGGGGAGCATCCAAGCAAAAAAGCGCAAGCAAGTCCAAACACTTCCGAATCTTGTGTGCCCCCATAAAGAGTTGAGGATGGAGTCTTTAAAATTGGGGTCTACCAAGGCCTTGTCGACCTGACGGAAACCTGGGGTTAGCATCTGCAAGCCCCCCCCCCCCTCGCACACACACACACACACAAAATGCACACGCTCCCAGCCTGAAGGATATAAGACATTCAGAAGTCGGGTCATCACGGGGCCCGGATTCTCTCTGCGTCTCCCCGGAGCGTTCGGGGGGAATTGGTCGCCATGACTAACATTCAAGCAACCATTTATCATTTCGAGGAGTGCCTAGAAAGCAATCTATGTCGCACCAGTTGGTTGGTGTGCTCACTTCCCGAGTGGATTGGACAAAACAAACAACTTGTTATTGACCACCAAAATGGTCTTCCCAAAAAGTACAAAGTTGAGAAACTCAGGAAGTGAGTTTGCGGGGTCTGTTTTTGCAATAGGGGCCTTTAAGGGGAACCCCACTTTAGGAACGGCATCATACATTGTATCTAGAGGGTATGACGCACATAAGATGTCTTTTCAGAAATCTGTAGAATCAACACAACTGGTATCAATCGAAAACAATCTGGAGGTCTCAAGAGCGCAAAAGGACTACCTTGGACCCCTGCTAATGGGACTCGTGATTGGGCGCTATGTTTGTTTCTCAAAATTAAAGTCCGCTCCAGCACCCTCCGACTACCGTCTTCTGTTTTCGGAACTACCGGGCAGTACTTCCGAAAATAACATAAAATACAGTAATCCGCTATCTACGGTCGTTTCACGTTGTCCCAAACAGTAAAAGACAAGCCCACGGGGTGACACGGTGACACGGGGGCGACACGGCGGCGACACGAAGGCGACACGGGGTGACACGCAGGTGACACGGGGCGACACGGGGGCGACACAGGGTGACACGCAGGTGACACGGGGCGACACGGGGTGACACGCTAAAACTACTGTTGTTCGCAGCGATCTACTGTTGTTCTAGCATACTGACACGGGGGCGACACGGCGGCGACACGAGGGCGACACGGGGTGACACGCAGGTGACACGGGGTGACACGGGGGCGACACGGGGGTGACACACAGGTGACACGGGGAGACACGGGGTCACACGCTGTGAGGCGCTTGCTGCACTTGCTGCCACCCTTGATTGCTACCACCCCTGCTATGGCATCTCCCAGTTGTAAGCAGTAGCAAGCAGTAGCTAGCAGTAGTTGGACTATGGGCATTTCGTTTAAACAAAAAAGAAGTAGTTGTTCTAACTACGGTCGTTTTTGGGAATTTCTATCTACTGCCCCCTGGGGCAGTAGTCGGAGGGTGCTGGCTATGGTTTGGTTCCTTTTGGTTTCCCTTTATAATAAATACCGACCAAAAGGAGGCTTTTACAAAGTAATGAGAACCACTGGCCTAACTCCCCTGGAAAAAGTGACATATTTCCTATATTGATGTATTCACAGCGGAAAATAACAGGAGAGAGGAACTCACCACATCCTTCACACGCCGCCGCCCAAGCGACGAGGAACATAGCAAATACTCGCTTGCCCAAAGGACATGGACACAGAATGAATGTTAACCTCTTGGGGCCATTGCTAGACATGGACCAAACAGGGGAAACCAAAAGGTTAAAGGGTAGGCTCTGGCCAAGTGAGAATATTCCTCAGCAAATTGGAAGCCCACCTGCCTCATAATCAAACCCTGGTACACACATGGTCCCAGAGTCATGATTCAAGAATTGAGACTGCGGATATCGGCACCCATTCATGTCTGGGGATCTTCTACTTGGTTAAGACCCCTGGGAAAAAAAATATGAATATTTCCAGTAGTGATAGATTCCCTTTAACACCAACAGGGGAAATAACAAAAAAGTATTCATTTCAGCAAATGGAACTCAAAAATCATAGTTCTGCAGCCGTCTTCTTCTTCTGACGCATAGCCGGATGTATATCCTTGCGTGTCCATGTCGTCATCTTCTCCCGGAACTTCCTCCGCTTCGTCCTCATCCTCCTGTGCTGCCGCATCGTGGTTAGCTTCTTCCTGTGCACGCCTGGCATCTCCAGAGACGTTGGGGTTTTGGTTGTCCTCCTCGTCATCGGATTTGATGTGAATGTAGTATCTTCCGATGGAGATCAGTTGTGCCTCGCACTCCAGGCATAAGCAGAAGCAGGTGGGGATCGCGGTCGCACATGATGGACATATCCGGCACCTCAGTCCTTCCCATGTCTCATCATTCAGGATGACGACTTTGCTGACTTCGTCCCGGACCTCGTTGACCTGTGCGTTGAACTCTTCCATCTTGTTGTTTCGATAGAGTTCGCAAGCACGATTAACCATGTCAACGATGTAGTGCAGATTATCGGCACCTGTCTCAGTCTCCGGCATCCTCTCGCTGATCTTTGCGACGTTCTGGAGGAACATCGCAGCCGACTCTTGGGAAGAGTTGACAAAGCCAGGGCAGATCTCGTTCTCCACACACTTCGAGTACGCCCTCTTGATGTCAGCGTACTCCAGGCGCTTCCCTCCATTGCTTTTGCCAATCCAAATGGACTTGACCTCATAGAACGGGATCACGTCAAAGACCATAAAAGTCCCATTAGCCGCGACTCCAGCCCCATACCGCGCGAGGGTTGCACTGGGAATATAGATGATCGCAATCGGATCCCCTCTCCTCACGTTCCGTAGCGTTGTCTTCGTCGCCACGTTCATCTCATCCCATGGAGCAAACGCCCCGAAGTGCAGTGCTAGCCTGTTACCGCCATCGATTCCGCCGGGGACTAGCCCACAGCGTACGATGCTTGGCAGGTTTTCCACATACGTCACATGGAATGCTCCTCCGAGAGTATCACCCATTCTTGCGGAATACCTATTCGCCAGTGCGGATGAGCTCATGAATCCAAAATCACTGTGACCGGTTGTGACTCGGATGCACCAAGGTCTGTACCATCCATCGCATCTGTTGAACATCCTGTCGATGTCGTCCCGATCCACGCCAGCCTTGTTCATTTCCTCCCTGGCTGCCCTCGTGTCGTTCGGGTTCATGATGCTCGGAAACCTTGCTGCCAGAACCTGGAATCTCGACTTCTTGCTTCCGGATTCCTGCCACTTGATCACCTCCATGATGCCCATGTATCGTTTCGCTCTCGTGGTGTAGGTGGGAATATGTCGTTGTTCCGGTCGTCAATGACAGCATCAATGTCGACCCATCCACCCTCGTCGCACCTGAAAGCACTTCCTCGGCAATTGCCGATCTTGTGTCGAAGGACTCTGCATAGGTCGTGAGATAGCTGGTTTGCTTGGTCCCTTGTAGTAAATACCGAGCGATCATCACCAATCCTGCATAGTGGAGCACCGTCGAAAGGAGCAATGCAAAAGTTGACACTCTTGCCAAGTTGCATCACGTCCACTTGCTCAAGGATTGCACCTCTGGGAAAGTACCTGGGGTCAACAATAGACGCGTATGCCCGTGGCATATGCACATCAATCATGTCGCCGTACTTCGGGATGTAGCACGGGATGGTGTCGCATCCCATCTCAAGCGTCTTCTTGAATGTCCTGCTGTCCCCGCACGGGTTGTATGTGAGGTCGACGCCACCACATTGTAGCTCTCCTCCCTCAGCCGTGTCAGCCATCTCCACCAAATTAATAGTGTAGCTGTACATCTCAATTGTTTCTTTCCCTGCTTGTCCCCCTTTCTTTCTTTCCTTGGACGTTGATGAGGACGGTTCCTCCGTATCCCCCATGTCTTCATCAGATGAAACAGGGTCACTGCTGAGTAGCTCACGGAGCACCTTCATCGCCTTCTCATTTCCAGCAGCCTCCTCAATGTCCTTGCAGTCACCGTCGTGGGCCAGGTTCGCGCACTTCTTACAGATCCCCATATCCCCCATGCACTTCTCCATTGACTCCAGGAATCCTAGTGCCGCTCTCCGCCCGTCGATCACACGCTGCTTCTTGTCCTCCTTCTCAGTATTGGCTTGAGAACTTCGACTCGGGTCTGGTGCTTGACCAAGACCCTCATCTTCGCCCTCCGTGGCCTTTCTCTTGGACCCTTGTGCAGAGGGCTCGGTGATCAGGGATCGTGGATGTCTGGGCTTGACCTTGTTCATGATGTCAAGCACCTCCTTCGTGGGCACGCCGAGCTGTGCGGACGGTCTGTTCCGCTTTCTGTTCTGGCCCGTCGTGTGGGTCACGTTCCCAGCGAGGTGTCGCACTATTGACTGCTCGAACTCCCTCTTGATCTTCCATGCATCCTTCCACAGTGGCAGTTCGTGCTGGAAGTACGACATCACCTCAAAGAATCCCAACACCATCTCGACGACGTCTCCCAAGGACTCCTCGTTCGTGGTTTGTCCCAGGAGCTCATACATCGTCCCTTGGTCGAGCACACTCTTGATCCATGACGAATATGCCACATTGCCGAGATCCTTGCCTATCAAGAAGATGGACATCCTCTCCTCGACTCCCTCGGAGTTCTTGCACACGATCACATCCCGGGATGCGCACAATTGCTTCCCGTGACCGTTGTTATAGAACTGCGCTGCTTGATCCACGGTCATGCTCACGAATCCCGCGTGAGAAAGTTCCTTCTTCAGCTTCGAATACGCGAGCTCCCGTATGATCGTGATCATGGCCTGGATGTTGTTGACGTCCACCATGAGGTTTTGAAGGTCGGGGATTGCCACCACGCATTCCGCGAAGAGGCGCGTGTACATTTTCTTCCCCTCGGTAGACATTGCAATACCGTTCGTGTCCGCGTTCCAGTTCGCGCAACAGTTCACGCAAGAAGAGGGATTGTACTTCGATTTCGGTCCGAGCACCTTCGACTTGCTCATCTGCATCTCTTTAGCGCAAAGTTCGCAGATAAACTTGCTGAGCTCCGTGACCGTATACCATCGAAG